TGAATAAAATCTCGTCAATCTGCGTTAGTGTACAAATCACAAATGACATCAAAGAACTCTCAATCTGCTATTTCTCTTTCTTTACTTCTCCTCCAACTATTCTCACTGCATAATAGCTAGCCAAGCAGCTCTCGGTTCATTATTTAGGTTGTTGAAATCACTCCTTTACTTTGCCATTCTCAGCACATAAAAATTAGACTCTCTCCACCCACTATGTAAGGTCTCCACATGCTTGTCCAACAAGAAGTAGGTCTGCCATTTCCAATATTTCCACAAGTCATAACAACAAATAAAACAAACTAATACGAGAGAACTATTACATCTGGTTTGTTCACTATGCCTCAATCGTCTTTACCCACGAGACCACGTTAGTAAAAAGCATTCAGTTTTCCCTTTTCACTTCCTTTGACAGTTAAAAGACTTGTCGTGCTTGCTATCCATTCAACACTCCACTCCTCTCCCATAAATGATTAGAGAAACCATTAGCTTAGTCAAGTACTATTAAAAAACCATCCTAATTTATGATCAACTAAGTAGATGTCCAAGCTTCTTTTTTTTTAATTTACGGCAATGGTGTCCTCGCCAGCTTGCGTGCACTTTGACTATGCAACAAGATACCTGCTACCTCCCAGCACAGGGTACCGGGTAATTTTATGCTTAGGTAGATGGAAAGAAATTGCCTAGTGTTTTTTACATAACGTTCAAGCAAGAGTCAACAACTTGTACTCTTGATGAACAATATAATCAATGAGCTTCTCTAGGGGTTTTCAATCAATAATGATTTGCATTACCACCACACGAACTATGAACACAAAGTAATTTAATAATATAATAATAATATGCAAAACTAACCAAGAAAATGTGCAAGACCCTGAGCATCATAAGGATCAACAAAACTGCCCATTCTCACACACATTGCAGCTGCTGCCTGCAAAATGCCACCAAATAAACTGAGAATTTAAAAAAAAAAAAAAAATTGAATAGCAACATATACCTAATCAATAGTCGATTAGAATTAAAAGAAACAGACCTTTTTCTGTGAAGCACCTTTACTCCCTTTGTCCTTAACTTCACTATCTTCTTCATCAGCGCCGTCAGTTTCTTCTTCGTCAAAATCGCTATCTTCTGTTTCTTCTTCATCTTCGTCTTCACTTCCTTCGTCTTCTTCGGACTCGTTGTTTTCGCTTTCGGAATGTTCTGGAAGTCCATCGGGGTAAATATCAGGATCGTGAACTAGAAGAGCACAGAGGCCATTAGGGAGTTGCATGTATCTGTAGAGACGCTTATCGTGCGGCGACTTTTCTACTAAGTCATCAGCTGTCAAAGTACGGCCGTCGCCTACCGCCATTGTTTTCAATAAGATTTTCTGTGAGAGAGAGAAAAGAGATACCAGTGCTTTCTTTCTACTCTCTCAGCACAGAAAGTGTTGACGTCTGTTGCAGGTATTGTCTAGGGTCGCGTCGGTCGGTGTTTAAGCAATCTTTACGCTGACCCGCTTTCTAGGGTCTATTCCGGCTCCAAGTTACGAACCTAAACCCTCCCAATAAGATTTTCTTTTTTATAATTTTTTCCAAAACAAATTCCAATCTATCCGAAGTTAATATTAAAAAATTATGTAATTACTTGCTTTACAATCTAATCCGTTATTTTAACAAAATACTCATCTTTTTCAATATTCAACAAAATATTGTCCAAATGCCTATAACTTAATATTAAAAAATAACATAATTAGATAGTTGCTCTCCAATAACTTTGGAACTTGTAAGATTATAATTGAGAAAAAGACACTAAGAGCCCCTTTCAATACTTATATGACCACAATGCTCACTTTTTTAAAAATATGACATAATATGCTCCTTTTAAAAAATTTATTACTCGGATACCTTCTCCCTTGTATGCCCAAGTTTCACCTAAGGCCCTTCTTTCTTTTTTTTTTAATAAATCCACTTGCCATTGTGCCTAGGGCTAGTTTTTATAAACGGCAAAGGGCCAAATATACTCATGTACTTTCGAAAATGGTCTAAAAATATCTCTCGTTATACTATTGGGTTATCTATACCCCTTCTGTCATACTTTGGAATAAATATACCCTTATTTTAGATGGAGTGCCACGTGGCAACACCAGATGAAAACGACCCATTTTTTTTTTTTACCCAATCCGTTTTTAAAAATCCATCACCCGACCCGTTTTAAAAAAATTTCAGTTTTTTAAAGTATATATTTTGTAAAAACTTAATTTCTTTTTGTAAAAACTGATAAAAAAATTACAAAATATATATTTTTAAGTTTTTTTAGTTTTTTTAAAGTATTTTTGTTGTAAAAACTGAAAAAAAATATATTTTTTGGTAAAAACTGAGAAGAAAAAAAAAAACTCTCCTAAAGCAGTAGACTACGCATTAGTTTAAAAAAATGAAAATATTTTGCAAAATATTTTTTTTTCAGCTTTTACGAAAAAAATACTTTAAAAAACTGAAAAATATATATTTTTGTAAAAACTGGAAAAAAAATGGAATTTGCAAAATATATATTTTTCAGTTTTTAAAAAAAGAAATTTCAGTTTTTACAAAATATATGCTTTAAAAAAACTGAAAAAACTGAATTTTAAAATGGGTCAGGTGGTGGATTTTTAAAAACGGATCGGGTAAAAAAAAAGAAATGGGTTGTTTTCATCTGGTGCTGCCACGTGGTACTTAATCCAAAATAAGGGTATATTTGTTCCAATGTATGACGGTAGGAGTATAGATAACCCAATAGTATAACGAGAGGTATTTTTAGACCATTTTCGAAAGTACAAGGGTTTATTTGGCCCTTTACCGTTTTATAAATATCTAAAGCAAAAAACAAACGGCAAAGGCCCAAATATACCTCTCTACTTTCGAAAATGGTCTAAGAATACCCCTCGTTATACTATTGGGTTATCTATACCCATGCAGTCATACTTTGGGTTCAAATATACCCCTCATTTAAACGGAGGGACACGTGTCATCGCCATGTTGGTCAATTCTAAATATCTTCTAATTAATTAAAAAGACCCATTAATCATACCCGAAAAGTAATTTTTTAAAGCAATTTTTTTTTGTATAAACTGAAAAAACTAAAATTATTTTTACTAAAAAATAAAAAAAACGAAAATATTTTTTTTCCAGTTTTTACAAAAAAACTGAAAAATATTTTCTAAAATAATGTTTTTGAAAAAACTGAAAAAATAAAGAGCTGAAAATCAATTTTTTAAAGCAATTATTTTTTGTAAAAACTGAAAAAAACAAAAATAATTTTTTTCCAGTTTTTACAAAAAAAGCTGAAAAATATTTTCTAAAATAATATTTTTGTAAAAACTGAAGAAAAAAAATTTAAAAAGCAAATTTCTAAAGCAGTATTTTTGTAAAAACTGAAAAAACAATTTATTTTTTTTCAGTTTTTAGTTAAAAATATTTCAGTTTTTTTCAGTTTTTAATTGCTTTAGAAAATTGCTTTTCAGTTTTTTTTTTTTTTGTTTTTACAAAAATATTGTTTTAGAAAATATTTTTCAGTTTTTTTAAAGCAGTTTTTTTGTAAAAAGTGGGAAAAAAAATATTTTCATTTTTTCAGCTTTTAGTAAAAAAAAATTTTAGTTTTTTTCAGTTTTTACCAAAAAAAAATTATTTTCGGGTATGGATAATGGGTCTTTTAAATTAATTAGGAGATATTTAGAATTGACCAACAGTACGATGACACGTGTCCTATGATTGCAAGGGTATATTTGAATCCAAAGTATGACTGCAGGGGTATAGATAACCCAATAGTATAACGAGGGGTATTCTTAGACCATTTTCGAAAGTAGATGGTATGTCATCCAAGTCTTACACAATGCAGGGAAATAAGGCTTGAAAATACATATCTCCTATTACCATGATTAAAATGGATCAACCATGGTAGTACATATTCAACCATGAAAAGGCTACTTATGGAAATTATCCATAAGAATATATCATCTTGAAAGCTCCTGTCTATGTACGCGCGCTGCAAAGTGTTGTGCATTGCCAAAATGTTTCATTGTTGCCATGGTGTTCCCTTTGTTGTATCTTGCTCATCCCAGTCCCATAACCTGCTCATGTTACATGTAAATAGTATACTCATATCTGCCTTCTCATAAAGCCAAACAAAATTAGCCGCATCCTCAAACACGTCCAAAATCCAGCAATTTTGCGCATATGTTGAGTAGTGCCGTTTGCTCCAACTTTCTTGTGGTTTCCAGTTATACATCACTGATTTTGCTACCTTAGGCCAATACCGGGTAGTTGAGTTAATGTAATGCATGTGGTTTTGATTCCACAATGCATCACTTGTACCCAACTTTTGGCATTCAAAGTCGGTACTTCGTGAGATATTCCAGTTAACAAATCTGGGCAGGCAACTCCTCTGTTTCTTTGTCCTTTGTATTGCTGCTGCTGGCCATTTTGTTTGTGATATGATGTCCAGCACTATATAATATTGAACCTCCAGCATTCCATTCATGTATGTGCAATCCAATACAAGGTTGTCCATTTCCAATTCCTCATTATGCAATATTGATTCGAAGCTTGTTTCCATGTTTGTGCCTATCATTGACACTCCCAAATGAGCACTTAGTGCTAATACCACCCATTGAGTTTGTATCAAATGATAGGGCATGAACACAGTAACATCTCCTGCAAAAAAGAACACAATGTTAGTATAAAAAATGACCCTCATGCTCTCCTCCATAAGGATTCGAACATGGTGGTCAAGGATGTGACCTCCAGTGAACTTCTTCCCCTTTGCTGATCTCTCCTTTCCCCCTCCTAATTTCTTGCAACTCTTACTTGTAGGTATGGGCATTGCATCTTATTATTATTTACCAATCTTCTTCCTTGAACATCCAACTCTCCAAAGCAATGGCATTCTATAGGGCCAATGTCTAAGGCATAGTTCGCAAGGTGATCTGCTAAGCTATTGCCCTCTCTAAGGGTGTGTGCTACTGTCACATTACACCTCCCCATCAATTACTTGATCTCCTCCACATAAATGGCAATAGCCCATGGAGCATTCCACTCTCTAGATACTACTTTCTTAAGCATCATTGAATCTGTGTGAAGATCGATCAGCACATAGTCATGTTTAATGCAATACCTTAAAGCTTCGAGCATTGCTCTTGCTTCAGCTTCATAATTTGTCCCCTCTTGAATCTCCTTACCACATGCATATATTATATCTCCATCTTCATTTCTTAATACAAACTCAATAGAACTTCTACCTGGATTACCCCTAGAAGCTCCATCTATATTTACCTTAACCCATCCTGGGCTTGGACATTCCCACATCACCTTAGTGACCTTCAAATTAGGCGTATACTTCTCCATCATATAAATGAGTTCTGGCCATTTATGAGGTACATGATGAAGCCCATGTTTTCTGTATTTGATAAGTGACTGAAGAGTAGAAGAAACTTGATAAATAACCCTGCTCACGGTCACAGTATCCCCATATTTATAGTTATTCCTTCGCTTCCAAAGTTCCTAAATTATGATAGCTAGCAATGCTTGCATTATTGCAGGCAGAATTTTGGAGGCACTTCCATGCTCTAGTGGTTGCCGGATCTACCCACCCACCTAGGTTTCACTCTATTTCCTCCTCCAAGGAGGGGCAGCAATGTATTGACACTAAAACTTCAATCCAGAACTTCAGAGGCTGCGATTCCAAGTTCTATCGCTCCTCCCTTGTCATGAAATTTTGTTATTTTAGCTTAATAGTACCTTCTTGACAATCTATTTTGATCTTGTACTTGTTTGTATTCACTGTTGTTTGCCCTAGCACTGTCGAACTAATTGCATAAGCAAGAGCTTTGCTTATCTGTTTATAAATTTATCTTGCTATTTGTTTGTTTGTGCTTTCACTTATATCATAGTTCTACTTTACTCTTTAGTAGTTTTGCCTCTTTTTTTGTGACTGTTAGTTGTAGATTATATTTTTTTTTATTTCTTGTATTTTAATTCGTCACATGTTTTAATGACTTTTAGTTTTAGAGTATATTTCTGTGATTTCTTGTATTTTAATTCGTCGCTTGTTTTAGGGTAGTGCTTGTGTGGTGTCCCTTAGATTATAGTGGCTTCGATCAACGATGATAGGATAAGGTCTTGTCCTAGGGGGTCCTTGAAGGGGAGGGGCAAAGGGGGTAAGAGGGCTAAGGGAGCCACCGAGCCAATAGTTGGGTCTTGAAACATTGGAACTTTGACTGGGAAGTCTATAGAGTTAGCGAAGATTATCCAGAAAAGAAAAACTAACATAATTTATGTTCAGGAGACTTAGATGGGTAGGAGCTAAGGCGAGGGATGTAGACGAGGTTTAAACTATGGTATTCTGGGAGCGCGAGGGGCAGGAACGGGGTAGGCATTTTGGTTGATAAGAACCTCCGGGAACTAGTGGTGGAGGTTAGGAGAGTGAACGACAGGCTGATGTCTATTAAGCTAGTTGTTGTTGGATTTACTTTGAACATAATTAGTGCGTATGCACCCCAAGCAGGCTTGGATAAAGAAGTCAAAAGACGTTTCTAGGAGGATTTGGATGAGAGGGTGCGTGATATACCGCACATTGAGAAGCTTTTTATTGGAAGTGATTTTAATGGCCACATTGGAGCAACGTTTGGGGGTTATGATAATGTGCATGATGGCTTCGATTTTGGAGATAGAAATAGAGGAGAAACTTCAATGCTAGATTTTGCTAGAGCGTTTGATTTGGTGATAGCAAATTCGAGTTTTTCGAAGAAAGTGGAACACTTGGTCACCTTTCGGAGCTCAGTGGCCAGGACCCAGATTGATTATCTACTATACAGGAAGTCCGTTAAATATATTTGCATGGATTGCAAGGTCATCCCGAGTGAGAACCTCACGACCCTTTATAGGCTCCTGGTCATGAACCTTGAGGACACGAGGAAGAAGAGGAAGAGGGAGGTGTATGGCCAACCTAGTATCAAGTGGGAGGCCTTGACTGAAGACAAAGCACATGAGTTGGGGGTTAAGCTGTTGACTATGTGGGCTTGGAGGAGTGGTGGGGATGCGAGCACTATGTGGACTACGATTGCGTAGTGCATTAGGAAAAGCTGCTAGAGAGGTATTAGGAGTTTTGAAGGGCTACTCTGGTGGTCATAAAGGAGACTGGTGGTGGAATGGAGAGGTCCAAAGAAATATAGAAACCAAGAAAGGGGCATATCTGAAGCTAGTGGAAAGCATATACGAGGAGGAGAAGAAGACAAATAGGGAGTGATATAAGTTGGCTAAGAAAGAGGCTAAGTTAGCAGTTACGGCAGCTAACACTGCATCATTTGGTCATTTATATGAAGAACTTGAGGGTAGAGGCGAGGATAGAAGGTTTCTCAGGCTAGCCAAGGTGAGGGAAAGGAAGGCACGTGACTTGGACCAAGTGAAGTGCATCAAGGATGAAGAATGTAGAGTTTTGTTGGATGAGGCACATATCTGTCGGATATGGCACTTACTTCCATAGTCTATTGAACGAGGAGGGGGACATGAACATTGTACTGGTAATTTGGAATTCTCCGAGAGTCGTTGTAACTTTAGGTATTGTAGGCAATTAGAATTGAGGAGGTTGTGGGGGCTATGAGTAAGATGAGCAGGGGCAACACGACCAGGCCAGATGAAATCCTAGTAGAGTTTTGGAAGAGTGTGGGCAGGGCGGGCTTGGAGTGGTTCACTAGGTTATTTAATATTATTTTTAGGACAAAAAAGATGTTTGATGAGTGTAGGTGGAGCACAATGGTTCCTTTGTAAAAGAACAAGTGTGATATCCAAATTTTCAACAACTATCAGGGTATCAAGGTGCTTAGTCATACTATGAAAGTTTGGGAGAGGGTTGTGGAGCTAAGGGTGAGGAAGAGTGCGTTTATTTCTGAGAACCGGTTTGGGTTTATACCGGGCATTCGACTATGAAAGCCATTCACCTTGTTAGAAGATTGATGGAACATTATAGGGAAAGGAAGAGGGACTTACATATGGTGTTCATCGACTTAGAAAAGGCTTACGATAAAGTCCCGAGGAAGGTTCTGTGGAAATGTTTGGAGGTTAGAGGTGTACCTGTGGCCTACATTAGGGTGATTAAGGACATGCATGATGGAGCGATAACCCATGTGAGGATTGTGGGATAGGACTCAGACCATTTTCCGGTCATGATGGGGTTGCACCAGGGGTCGACAGTCATCCCTTCTTTGTTTGCCCTGGCAATTAACGTAATGACACGCCACATCCAAGGAAAGGTGTCGTGGTGCATGTTATTTTCAGATGATATTGTTTTGATTAACGAGACGTGGGGCAGTGTTAATGCAATGTTAGAGGTGTGGAGACAGACCCTGAAATCTAAAAGTTTCAAGTTGAGCAGGACCAATACAGAATACTTGGAGTGTAAGTTCAGTAGTGTAACTCAGGGAGTGAAAGGGGAGGTGAGGCAGGATTCACAAGTCATCCCTACGAGAGGAAGTTTTAAGTACCTTGGGTCTATTATACAAGGGGATGGTGAGATTGACGAAGATGTCACCCATCGTATTTGGGCAGGATGGATGAAATGGAGACTTGTTTTCGGTATTTTATGTGACAAGAAGGTGCCACCAAAACTTAAAGGTATGTTTTATATAGTGGTGGTCAGACCGACTACGTCATATGGGGTTGAGTGTTGGGCAGTCAAGAGCTCCCATGTCTAGAAGATAAAGGTAGCAGAGATGAGAATATTGAGATAGATGTGCGGGTACACTAGGTTAGATATGATTAGGAATGAAGTTATTCGGGACAAGGTGGGTGTGGCCCCCTATTAAGGACAATATGCAGGAAGCGAGGCTTAGATGGGTTGGACATGTAAGGAGGAGAAGTACAGATGCCCCGGTAAGGAGGTGTAATGTGTTGACACTGGAGGGCCTAAGAAGAAGGTAGGCCGAAAAAGAACTAGGGAGAGGTGATTACGCAAGACATGGCGCAACTGCAACTGACCGAGGACATGACCCTCGGTTTTGTCCCTTCTTGTTTTTCTTTTCATTAATGTGGTGCTTATACTTTTCTAATCTAAGGGTCTATTGGAAACTCTCTCTATCTCCATAAGGTAGGGGTAAGGTATGTGTACACACTACTCTCCCCAGACCCCACTATGTGAGATTATACTGGGTGTGTTGTTGTTGTTGTTGTATACTAGAATCCAAAATATGCCATGATTCAATAGTTTTCACAGTCTATTATGATTCAACTGTAATAATAGTATACAACACTGTATATAGAAATATCGTGAATACCATTCTACTGGACAACACTATAGCACGCAGTCGCCTGGGAGCTTCAGAAATTCCCTAAGTCATTTTTGGGTCAAATTGCATGATTCCAAGCCATGGAGTTCGTTCTCCAACACAAGAGCAACCTCTCCACCAAATTTCAGAGAATTTCACCGCCGGAATCGTCAGTTCTAATCTTCTGCAATCCGGTGAGCAACAGTTGGTCGCAGACGGTGCTCCGGTGAACCAAATGACCCAAGTCCAATGCCAAATGCCTCCTGCTATTCAAGAGATTATTCCACACCCTTCAAACCCAATTTTCATTGAACCAATCCCCATAACAAAGAACACTAACAATGCGAACACATCAGGTGTTTGATAGAATGACACTTTCATTTCTGGGCCAAATTGTGGCCAACTGATCATTGGAAATCATTCTACAACACCTAAGGAGCAGGCCTGCAATGTTTCAGACCAATCCAACGTGAGAATTGATCACCACGATTAGCTAAAGATCCCAGAAACGTACCAGTTGGTCGGAGATGGTAATCAGGCGATCCAAAATGGCCAAGGTCAATGCCAAATTATTAGTTATGCTGAGGAGATTGATAATGTTCAATCAGACTGCCACTACAATGAACCAATCGACGCAACCATGCAAAAAACTATTACATCAGCCTTAACTGTCTTAGGCAATTGTCAAGAAAAAACACAAGCACACTCTCTCCAACGTAATGATCATACCCTCTTTGCCACACAGTTTTCTAACTTAACTCTGTACTACTGTTTTATCTGTGCCTCCTATAGAACAAAACCAAAAGGAAACCTTTGCAACCAATGTGTAGACTGTAACCCCTGCCTCCCTTCTTCAATCTCATAATTTTACACACAAAGATCCTAAGGAAAAAGGTTTCACAACACCTGGTGCTTTACAGGGTGTTAAGAATGGAGAACCAAAGACTCAAACTAACCAACAATAGTCCAAAATGCTAGGGGTAGGCGTCGGTCAGTTCGGTTCGATTTTGTAGAAGTTCGGTTCGATTTTTTCGATTTTCGATTTACGATTTTAATAACCAAATCCGAACCAAAGTATTTTCGGTG